TAGATGGTTTCAAATTGTAAAATTGAGATTCCTACCCCGACCCCTGGGGCCAGGGCGGGGCCCCAAAGGGAAAATTAATCAATATTTCAAAAATCTTCTTCTCCAGACTCAGAGGTACTACAGTGATTTTCTCTACGTGGAAAGAAAGATCATCAGGGGCTTTACTTAAATTGTAAATTTCAGGACCCCCGAGCTATCCGTTCTCCCTTGGGGAGGGGGTAAAGTTTACTATAGTTTATATAGGGAAATAACACTTTTGGGTATATATTTTATCCATTTTCAGCAGAAAATTACTCAAACTTAGTCAGAATCATCTTGGGTGAATGAGAGTATTACTTTGTAAAATTGGGATTCCTGCCCCATCCCCAGGGGCTAGGGCGGGGCCCCAAAGGGAACATTTACCAATATTTTCAAATTCTTATCCTTTGATGACATGACAAGTATTGTATTTCATTTAGTTTACATGCTGATTTCCACATCACATCTAAACAATAAAATAAAGCTACCTGCAGTACCTATGATATAACTCGGGTGACCGCTAAGGCCCTTGGGCCTCTTGTTACTCTTAGGGAGTGAATTTCAGCAAAATTTGAATCGGTATATTTCATTAGAAGTGTATGCCATTTTAGCAAATATGACATTTTTTCCCCGACCAGCCCCTTAAATATCTTGACATTTTTTTCTCTGTAAATTGTACTTGTTCTTAACTGTATCTAGTTGTAAAACAGAGAAAAAAATGTCATTGATTTTGGTTTTTCAGAGACAAATGACTTTTATGTTACTAGGCATTGCTGGTGGGACAATGAATTGTTTTTACAAGGGGAAATGTATTATTCACTTAGAAAGCACAATTTTACATGAAACATTTATTCAAAATGAAGACGAAGCGCTGTGTGATATTGTTTTATTTGTAAAAAATCCTGGGTGCTTCCACTTGTGTGGTAATTACGTGGCGGAGAAATTGCACACTGTATAATCGTTATAGTCTTGTTTAAGGATGGGCCAGAGGCTGTTAATATAACAGAATCACCACTATCAGGTACAACCTTTAATGTCCTGTACCCTGACCAATACCACTGTTGGATATTTTTAGTTTATTCTGAAGCTGGTACCTAAAGGCTTGGAGAACAAGCTGCCACAGAACAAATTACAACCGTTTCTATAGCCCGACACATTCTATAAAATCAGGGCTGTTTCTATAGCCCGACACATTCTATAAAATCAGGGCTAAGGTTCTTACATACAACCAAACTGTAAATTGAATAAAACATTAACACCATGCTTGATAACATTTGGAAATTTCCATGGGTGAGATTAAAATCATCAATAAAATGTGTGTATATAAAACCCCCTCTAATTTATTAGATCTTAGAATGTAGGAATAGTTAAACAAGTCCACTGGTTGGAAATACCAAATGTAGGGGTCCAAAACCAGGAGTACCCCTCCTAAATAGGGAGAATGTGTATGTAACACTGACCCTTGGTTTACTTGTTATAGGTTCGAAACTGAATTTAGTGATTGTACATCTGTCAACTATCTTAGTGCATAAATTGGTTACACAATTTACTACTGAGTTGCAGGGCCTATGTGGGGCAGTTGCCATGTACTGGCCGCAGGTCAGTGGTTTTTCTCTGTGTATTGTACTCCAGTTTTCCTTCACAAGCAAAACTTGGAATGTCCTGTTATGATCACAGTCGTTAATAGAACTTTAAACACAAACCATGGATGTGTAGTGGAGGGATTTGCAACTCCGAGTCCAGTGGCGAACACTTATCGTCGCTTTTGAGTTTGTTCCCTGGACCGTGAAGTCATCGAGGGCCTACTCTGGCCGGTCTGCGCTTGCGCGCTAGTGTCAGGTTATACTCGCACTTGCTTCCGGTGTCATGTCAACACATCGCTGAATCGAAGTGTTTTGATTGCGGTTATCCAAGTTTTCTGGGCTGTGTATTAGCACGGAATTAGATTAGTCGTGGTATTAGTAGGTCTTAGTTTTATTACAGGAGAAATGTTATCGTTGTCACCATGTCTAGCTGTACAGTAGTTGTGTCGGGAGATATTATCGTCTGTATCTTGAGTTTGTCCTATATTTTGGTTTGGACTCAGAGGGAGTCAGTTCATAGCATTTCTCGATCAGACACTTCAGCGCTTTTAAAATTGTCTCATCATGAAAAACACATCATGTCAACGTCTGATTTTCTGTCTTGGGATGATGACATAGATTTAGAACACTTGCTTGGAGAGTTTACAGAATATAGTGAGTCGGACATTTCAGACGACGATTTTGACAGGGATGTGTAGTGGACTAGTACTCAATATATTAAATTGTACACCTCTGTAATCGTGCAGATTCGGCAATCAAATAAGTCGGCATACAGTTCAGAGTATCATTAAATAAAAATTACAAAAATAAAATTGCTTGTTTGTATTACGTGCCATTTTCATTAGACCCTTTCCCACAAGTGTCCCGGATTGGGTACCGTCCTGGATTGGGTTCCGCCACAGTACTGTAGTACTGTAGTGGTCAGTTTCCAGACCAATAAAAACAAAAACACTGACATACCACAAATAACACCTGCAAAAGTTACTCATCTTTTTAATTTATTGATATCCCACATTTGAAAAATGGTGGAATATAGGCCTATTGGAAGAAAATTTGATCTAAACAGCGAGATGATAACATGGTTTCACTGAAAATGACTCCATTTCCGATGTGATACAAACATTAGCTCTTTTTGAAACAAAAATAACACAAATTAATAATAACTCCCTTACAAAATCAAATTTATTTAGCTTTACATTGCCGTTTATTTTGAAAAGCTTGATTAAATACTTTGGAAGAAATTTGAAACACAAAATGGGTGGTAATGAGATTTTTTCCACCCAAATTTTTTAAATGTTTAGAAAAAAGTTTGTAACATAGCGGGCAGTTCCTGACCAATAGAAACAAAATACTGACGGAGGACAAATAAACTCGAGTCTACACAATACAAAAATTACTCATCTTTTTATTGATATCCGCTGTTTGAAAAATGGTGGAATTTATTGGAAGAAAATTTGATCTAAACAGCGAGATGACAACATGGTTTCACTGAAAATGACGCCATTTCCGACGCAAAGTGATACATGTACAAACATTAGCTCTTTTTGAAACAAAAACAACACAAATTAATAATAACTTACCGCCATAAGACTACTCCCTTACAAAATTAAATTAATTAAGCTTTCCATGGATATACTTCATTCTGATGTAAACCATTCCATTGAGGAGGAATTAGAAACACAACTTTGTTGGGTTAGCAAAACAAAATCTCGAATCTCAAAAAACAACATCCGGTTGACGTTGAACACAGTCACAGAAAATGAAAAAATATGGCAATAAATCAATACATCGGGTCCTGTGTCACCATCTACTACTTCCACCAGATGTAATATAAACAACCAACAACAACAAGATAAACAAAAAATGTAGTAATACATAGTATTATTGGTTTGCTTACACACCAATTTCACGCTTCAACCACGCTCTGATGAAGCCATAACTTGTCCGCTAGGGGGCGCTCGTATCATAGAACACCGATCAAGGGAGATAAGCCAACCCCACTCGGAACATATTTACTAAGGCAAAGAGGAAGTTGCGTAAATCCCTCCACTGCACATCCCTGCACAAACAAACCAAGCACTATGATAAAAGTGTACTCTTACAGAAATGGTGTGTGACTAGAATTAAATTAATAAAATCTATTACCTGTAACTTAGCGAGATCGGGTTATCTCAGTAAAGGGTTAAGATTCTGTAGCAAAATCCCAACCGAGGCGTAAGGCGAGGTTGGGATGTTACAGAATCTTAGCCTGAGACTGAGATAACCCTATCTTGCTCAGTTACAGGTAATTGTTTTTTTCTCTCGCACCTTTTATTTAAAAAAAACCTATTCAATTTTGCTAAAAACTACAAGTGTCCCCCCATCTTGGGCTTCAAATGATGATGACCTCTTCACTACTTAAGCTACATTTAAATGCTTCCTCATAAAAACGTAGTCCGTCTTTCACAGTGTAGATTATATTTTATCTACAGCATCAAATATCTAACAACATCAAAACTATACAATAAAGACAAAACAACATTTATAATGCAAATTGTCATTTTCAAGCAGTTAACGAGCGGATGAATACATCATATTGTAAAAATTCTGCAAAATGTCATGTAAAGGTACAAGACAGATCGAACGAGATAGGAAAATCTAGCATCAAATATGACGTGGGATATCTCTGTCTGAGGTGCTAGAAGTTGTTATCTATGATACTGATCAATTTGTTTTATGTCGTCTTGGTGTCCTAGTTGGTGCAAGGCCTTATGCAAAAAATGATTCCAACAACAACACTTTTCTAGTAGAAGATGTTGATGTTGCAAAATTGAAGAAAGTATAAAAAGAGTATATGGTCAAGTGTTGAGAATTCAAGCTTTATATTGGCTTGGTTCGGAAAGTATGGAAAGATTTGAAACAAAAGCTTTACGTCTTTGACTTTCCTAACCCTGGACCAAACTTTGAGATCTAAGATGCTGATCTTGTATACCCTATATATAGTATATATCACACAGAAATGATACCGACACCTGTATATTCCTCTTTGTTAACATTTTCCTCTGTTACCAAGCTCTCTTAATTTAACTCATTCTCAAATGACCATTGCGTTCTTAATTCATTCCATCCTTTTTTAATTCTTTGGATATACTGTCCAACCCTCTGTACACCATTGATGAACCGTAACACGAAATCCTCCGACTGTTGTGACTGCTGATAACGCTTGTCCTTTGGATATACTGTCCAACTATCTGTACATCATTGATGAACCGTAACACGAAATCCTCCGACTGTTGTCACCGCTGATAACACTTGTCCTTTGGATATACTGTCCAACCATCTGTACATCATTGATGAACCGTAACACGAAATCCTCCGACTGTTGTGACTGCTGATAACACTTGTCCTTTTGTATTCCAGCCACTATATGAAACAGATCCTGGAAGCTATGCGATATTGCCATGCCAACGGGATCATCCATCGCGACCTGAAGCCTCACTGCGTGCTTCTTGCCAGCAAGGAAAACTCGGCCCCAGTGAAACTGGGTGGATTTGGGGTTGCGACACAGCTCCCCGAGTCGGGTCTTATCTCAGGAGGTATAAACAGGAGTTGACATGACTCACCCAAATATCACATTGTATAAAATCATAAGCAGAGAATCTGATACATGGAATGAATAATTTAACAACAATTTTGGTACTTACCTAGATACATAGATCTGGAAACTTGGACAGTTAACCAAAACCTGTCATACTTTGAAGCTTCCACTCTTTTATGAGTAAACTTACTAATCAGGAAAAATGATTTCCATGGGAATCACATATTTATTTTCTGGATTTAATCAGTTTCTTGATCAACCAAGCATTTCTGCCTTGGTTTCTCACAGGAACCTATTATTTTCCAGATATTTCATCTAACAAAAAATCGTTTGAGATTCACTTTTTTCAGGATTTATGAGAATACTTTTTCTTTTTTTTTTCCTTAACAAAGTTTCTTCAATGTAATGAACGATTAAAATTCATATGAATTTACGGTTATAAAGTATGCAAACATCATATAAATTACACTTTCGACTTTTCATATGAAAATAATATAAAAATATTTTTCCCATGTATAAGCAGTATATGATAAGAAAAATATCACATTTGATTAATGAAAGTAAGAATTTAATTGTGAGCAGGAGTTTTTGAGATATCAGGCTAGGATGCAGCACTTGAACAGTGGACTCTTTACTTAGAGGAACAATCAGTTTGCTTTAATTTTGAAATACAACTTTTCTGGGGTCATCTCTCACAGATCTGTTTATGTTGGGCTGACCTTGGGGTCTTTGTGAAGACTTGCCAGAAAATTAAATTAGATTTCTATATATAGGTGACTGTTCCTATGTCATAAAACGACTTGGGTGACCTGGTCAAAGTATTGGAAACTTCCTATTATAACAGTTCCTTGTTTTCCCCTTTAATTCCTCAGCATGGTCAATACTGTACACCGGGAAATATTCGCCACAGTCTAATATTTCGCCTTTTTTTAACTTACGTTGTGAGGGCAATTTTATCATTACAGTGAGCATTATAAACAAAATATATGCATAGTAATTAAATGTGTAGGGTGAAATTCATACTAGGCGATTGCGGATTTTACCGATGAAGGGCGAAAGTTTTACGGGGTGAACATTTCCCGGTATACATCAGTATCACAGCATGCCAGTGTTGTTATTGATTGCTGCATCGTTTATTTTCTGTCCAGCACTATAATGTGATGTCACAGACGTTGTCATTTGTCGATGTGACATCAAATTATGGTATCCAATTATCTAGTCTTTAAATATGTATGTGTATAAATGTTTTCCTACTTGAAACGTAGAAAAAGAAATCACATACCACATATTGTGACCAACTTCATTATTTCACAAGAAAAGAAACAAAATGTGTACTTCTTTTGGAATATACAACACTCAAATGTATATAAAAAAAATGAAGTCAATGGAAAACTAATATTTTGATATTTTATTGTTGAAACAACAGGGAAAAAAATGTTGAACCTCATTAGAAGTTAATGGCAGCATATCACATTTGCTGTGTAGGTATTGAGGTGTATATATCACAGTACCTGGTATGGAGTACGTTGTATTGATGTTGTTCAGCATGTTACTTTGTTTACACCTATCCAAGGCGTCCTCGGTATTGGCCTGTTCATCTCATCAAACTTAAAACTGTTGACAAAAATAAAATAGTATTTAGATGCATGTACAATTGTACTTTGAACTGTTGAAATAAAATATGATTAAGATTCTTTGAACTGTTGACATTAAAAAAATAAATACTTTGAACTGTCAATATTAAATAGTATCTGATATTTTGAATCCCTGTCATTAAAAAGTATGATACTTTTAACTTTTGTTATTGAAATGTATTAATTGATACTTTTAACTGTTAACACTAAATAGTAGTAAGATGATTAAAACTGATGACATGATATATTAAGATACATAAAACTGTTGACATAAAATAGTATTAAGATACTTTAAAACAAATGACATAAAATAGTTTTAAGATAATTAAAACTGTTGACATTAAATAGTATTAAGATACTTTAAAACTGATTACATAAAATAGTATTAAGTTACTTTAAAACTGATGACATAAAATAGTATTAAGATACTTTAAAACTGTTGACATTAAATAGTTTTAAGATAATTAAAACAGTTGATGTTAAATAGTTTTAAGATAATTAAAACTGTTAACATTAAATAGTTTTAAGATAATTTAAACTGTTGACATTAAATAGTTTTAAGATAATTAAAACTGTTGATGTTAAATAGTTTTAAGATAATTAAAACTGTTGACATTAAATAGTTTTAAGATAATTAAAACTGTTGACATAAAATGGTATTAAGATACTTTAAAACAAATGACATAAAATAGTATTAAGATACTTTTAAACAAATGACATTAAATAGTTTTAAGATAACTAAAACTGTTGACATTGAATAGTATTGAGATTGAGAATTAGGGCCCCACATCAAATGCAAGTAACATTTTGTTTATATTGATACATACTACTGTCTATTCTGCTGTTTGTCAAGACACAGAGAGCTCAGGCTACCATTGAAACGGGAAAAGAAAATGACAGATGATGAATGCTATCCCTTCCTGAGGCCACACCAGTGAAACATTGTTTCTGAAGAGTTTAAAAAAATAATAAAAAATATGAGAAAAAAAATCTAAAATGAATCAATGATGAAATTATTAAATTGAATGAATTAACTTAATATAAGACTAAAAGACTGGTCATAAACAATTGAGTAAAACAAACAGTAATTTTCATGTGTGTAAATAAAGACATATTGATGTATAGAGAACCAATTTATCATTGGTGTGGCCTGAATGAGAATGTTATACATATACATTGTTAACTTATTTTCCTTTTGCTCATTTTGGATCTTGCTTTCTATTCTACTTGGGTCACATGTTGATGTTCCAATTGCTACATGTTGATAGGCTGTTGTAGCCAATATAGATACAGTCGCTGTAGGCTAAAACATAGGACTGTGAACATAACAAGTGGAATCAGATTTGGTGATTAAGACTACCAAGAGTTATACCCCCGTCCTTTTTATAGAAAATTCTGACGAGATAGCACTGCTGTATTGAAACTCTGACGTACCAGCAGTACTTGATCATAAATTGAGTTATAATGATCACCCACTATAGGTAGATTCTATTGGAGGAAACAGTCACATATTGTGGCCTTTGTCGACTCAAGAACAAAGTTATGTGACCCAGGTAGGACGGTAGTTGGGGATCCCTATGCTTGCTGTCTTTTTGTTGTTTGTGTTTATATGTTGTTGTTTACCCCGGTTTCCAGAGGAAGACATCCGCTTTGGCTTGGACCCTGTGGTTGACTTGAGAAATGATGTAGTTGGTAAGACTAGTCGCTATATCCTCTTAATGTGGTAGTTGCCATGGAAACCATGATATGTTGTAGTGCCAGTAGTTGTGTATTGTCACCATGCTTACCATATATATTCTCAGGTTGACAAACCTATCAGATATATTGTCAGGTCACCACGACTACCAGATATATTGTTAGGTCACCATGACTACCAGATATATTGTCAGGTCACCATGACTACCAGATATATTGTCAGGTCACCATGACTACCATATATATTGTCAGGTCACCATGACTACCAGATATATTGTCAGGTCACCATGACTACCAGATATATTGTCAGGTCACCATGACTACCAGATATGATGTCAGGTCACCATGACAACCAGATATATTGTCGGGTCACCATGACTATAATGTTGCCATGTGACCATGCCAACCTTATGTTGTTAGGTCACCATAGCTACAGTATATGTTGCTATGTCACCATAGGTACCATTTATGTTGCCATGTAAACAACTTTCTAATTTTATTTGGTGTGGTGGTGGTAGCTACAATAATACCTGGGGGTAGTACAGACCTTCAGTAACAAATCACGATCATACTAGCTTACACACATTAAAATCCATCACTAACGGTTGTACTAACTGAATTCACACTTACATATTTTTTTGGGGCTTGAACAGGATTGTTTTACTAATACTAACTTTTCAATGAATATTTTTCTGATAAAATTGTCTGGCTTCTTTTAGCAGTCTTTTCACAGTCATCTGTCTATCACATGTAAAATCTCAGATAAAAAATTAATGTTATACAATCAGTGAGTAAAGTTCACGCTTTCAACAATTCGAGGGATGAGACTTTATTTTATATTGAAAGGTCAATCAGTCAAAGTATCTAGACATATGACTAATAATCTTTTCTGCTGTATAAGAGATATTAATGGACACTGGAAGGTTGATAATAATTATTATATGCCTGGAATTGCTTTTCTATTAAATAGATCTATTGTGTATTTTGAGGTAATTTGAGGTATTTTGTTTACTGAGATCTAAAGCACTTCAGTAAGGTTAGAGCTATTAAGTGCTATGGATAAATTATGTTAAAAGAGAGCAATTAATGTTTTGTTTCATTCAGTAAATATTTCTTGTTTATGTGTACAGTATTTCTTAAAGAGTAAAATCAAACACAGTTATCCCCCTTTGACTATGTGTTGGTGAAATGTTCTTGATGGACCAAATTATGCATTAGAACTCTAAAGCTTAGTTTTGCTAGAGCTTCACTTGCATAATCTGGTCAATATTGATTAATATCCCAGCTATTCATACTTGCCAACCTTTCAAATTTTTCATGGAGGAAAAATCATTGGACAGAACCTAAAAATGTCTGAAAAGTACTTAAATGACCCCAGTTTCATGAAATAATTCTGTCATAGATTAAGCTGATCTGTGCAATGTTTTAATTGAATTGAGCAAAAATCAATGAATTCTACTAATTTAAAAAATGCAAAAGGATGATAAAAATCTAGATTCTCCTTCCAGTGTAGGGCGATTGGCAAGTACGACTATTGAGATTGATAGAAAAATAAAACAAAAATCAGCCATTGTTCAAAACTCTACCATTCTGTTATTAATGAGTCCATTAAAGCTCAAAGAAACTTAAAAAATAGACTGTAGCATTTCTTTAAATCTTCTTTAGTTAAATTTGTCATTTAATGAAGTTATATGTGACAGGAACACATGAAAGGAATATTCACTGTCATGACAGTCAGAACTAAAGCTTATGTTTCTGTCTATTCCGTCTTTGCGTATTGCAGAGTTATCTTCTCTTGGCAGCAGGTATTGATTGTTACGTCACCTGTTTGTGAGATTAATGTCATCAATTTTTGAGAAAGTGACGAAATTTTCTCACACAAACCAATGACGTAACAAACAATACCTGCTCCCAAGAGAAGATAACTCTGCAATACGCAAAGACGGAATAGAACTTAGGAGATATCCCTAATTCTGGACCCATTTGTATTTTACATTATTTAAATTACAGGGAAACCATACTAAACTGAACAATTCTGGGACAAACATTTCTGTTTGTATTACACAGGATTTCATAGATATATATTGTGAAATTTAATTGAAGATGTGGTTGATACAGGTTCCCCATTACTCAGGTAAAACTTGAAATTAAACCACAATATGTTTTAGGATTTAGTAGAAAGTATGTTTCATATTTGTTAAAGAATTAAAATCTATAATTGTTTATGTAATCTGCCAAAAAATGTATCCATTTGTATGTAGCTGATGGTCTGGTTACATGATACAAGATTCTGTTTACAGGGAACTTTTATAGAGCTAGGTTACTTTTAGCTGCGGGAACAGTAGCTTGTATGCCCAATTTTTTTTTTTTAATTTATTGTTATCGGACCATAGACCGATAACAATATATATATATATTTTTCAATGTATTGTTATCGGACCATAGACCGATAACAATCATTTTTTTTTTTTTAAATCGGGCATAGAAGCTATAGTTCCCGCAGCTAGGTTACTTTTACTTGTATGGATAGCCGTTGTATATCCATTGAGGATGTGTAGCCTCCTGACTCCTTTATCTGGATCCATATCTTATAAGTATAAATGTTGTTACCTGAAACAAATTAAAACCATGCAGTCACCATCGTTCCAACTTACATGTACACTTAAACATTATAGTGATTTATTGAACTGTACTTTTTCTCTAGGTCGTATTGGAACGCCACAGTACATGGCACCTGAGGTTGTGAAAAGGCAGGCATATGGCAAGCCGGTGGACGCTTGGGGCTGTGGAGTGATGATGTTCATACTCCTAGGAGGTCATCCCCCCTTTGTGGGCACCAAAGAACACGTGTTCGAGAAGATTGCACAGGGCAGCTATCATGTAAGATCAAAGCCCACTTCTCTTCAAGACAACATGGATGTAAGGGGCCTTGTCGTAGTTACCATAGCTACCTAGTCTTACTTCTCACGCATGGGGTGATGATGCATGTCTAGTACTAAGACCAGAGATCCTTACCTGTTAGACCACTGTAGGTGGCACTTAGGTCCAGGATTTTACCATTAATTCTTCGTTCTTCACTGATCATCCAGGAAAAAGTGGCATAATAACTTTTCATTCTTCCAGATTGACCATCGTAAAGTACAAAAGAGAAGTTGTACTTATACTGACCTAACAAAGCAGCTGCAGGGACAATCCATGTTGCCATTCATGTTAGTCGGTGATAGGTTATAGGAAAAGACATGTTACCATGGCAACATGATTGGTAGTTACAAGGCCTGACCAGTTGCCATAGAAAGAAAACAATGAGTTATATAGTCATAGATACAGTCTGTTTACTGTAAAAACTGTAAAAGATTAGATTGATATAAAAGTAAGGGTTGTGTTTCCTTATTCAACCATTTATATGTAGGTTCATATAGAAAAATGGGTTGTGTCCCATGGTATGACCAGGCTATCTGGTATGTGTAGATTCATCTATAGGATAGGTTATTTCCCCATTTATGACCTTGTATGTGTGGGTGATATAATGAAGAGTTCTTTGCATGGTCATAAGTTTGTAGATTTTTATAAAAGGATGGGTTGCATCCCTTTGTATGACGATGTTTGTTTAGATGAATTAACGTCTGTTAAAACATTTATCTAGTATTGATTTCGTATTAATATAGGTTTAAAAAAAGGACATATAATTTGGATGTTGTATTTGTTTCGTTGTCTCATATATTAACTGTAGGGCAAAATAAGCTTATGCCATGACATTGGGGTCCATCTGACTGTTGTTAAATTATAGTCCAGAATGGCTGATGAGACTTTCGCTGCATTAAGTATGGGGCATCACAATGATTTCAATATTGTATTAATGGGGAGAATAGCTGACTGAGGACAGAGAAGCAGAGGTCGAGAGGGGAAGCTGAGTTAGTATACCAATGACTACTCCTATATGTATGATAAGATTATAACTTGGTAGGAGGCTGCCATGGGTCATTGGGATTTCATGTTATACATTAACGTTATGTATTAACGAAGGGTGTGTGACCAGGAGACAGAGGACAGAAATAAATAGAGTGGATATTTTCTCAACTTCTATCCTAGCTCTCCCTTGTCAAGTTTTTGACAACCATAGCCCTGTGGCAGAATCTGACACTACATTTATAAAACTTTTCTCAGACCCTGACCACTTATTATAATTGAGTCATTTTAGATGGTGGCAGCTGTTGAAGCCCCTAACTGGCCAAGCAAGATCTGATTTACAGTTAGTTCTACAAGGGCAATTCCTCTTAGATATGATGTGGTCATATAACCAGCAGATGTTGTTTTAACGTTGATTATAAATCCAAGATGGCCTCCTGTTTCTTATTGGTTAAGACTTTTCTTACAAATTGTTTTTATGAATGTTGATGTTTAATTTTCTGTAACAGAGAAGATATAAATTGGTCATCTTATTAATTATTAGCTGCTAGCATGATATCTAGTAAAAAAATAGACACCTAATGGGAAATGATTACAAGCAGGAAATGTTATTTATTATATTGTACAATATAATTGTATTTTTAATTGTCTAAGTTTCACTCAACTAATGACAGTGATATTGATGTGAGGAAAGCAATTTTTATGATCAAATCATGGTCAGGTGATTCTCTTGCATGACAGTTTTTGAAAATTTTCTATTTAGATCATCTTCACATTTGGAAATGTAGTTTCTGACAATCATTAAATTTCAAAAACTATTTTTGTAAAACCAACTGACAAGCATGCCCTTAGCTTTAGGCAATCACTGGAAAAACACACCTTGATATAGTTTAATGTCACATCAACCCGAGATCAGTCTAGTAACATGTAGTGTATATTTACATGTAGCATAACATTGCAAAGAAAATGTAAACGTAGAATTTTCTAACTTCATTTCATTGAAGCAAATTGATGTAAATCGAAAAAACTTGTTCACTTTTCTTTTTCTTGTTGTTAAGATAGTATGATCTTCAGTCAGGAACCAGATTGATATAAATTGGAAGACTTTCACTATTTACTGGGTATGTTTATCATGTACAACAGAAAGATGTTAAGTATACTGATTATGATCACTAAATGGCTTGAAATATTAATCATCTTGTGTATTCTGTTATTGTTAGGTAAATTAATTATTTAAAACATTGATAATGAGGGCATATTGAAATTTGAAGGTTGTGAATATTATGAAAGGGAAACAACTCTAATGAAATGTTATTTTTGGATTTTTATTTCAGATGAGAAAACAGTGGTTACAATTATCTAATTATGCAAAAGATTTAGTTAACAAATTGTTGGAGACGGATCCAGAGAAAAGAATTACTGTAGAAGACGCATTAAATCATCCGTGGATCAGGGTAGGCTAAAGATTATTCATTTTGAAATACTTCCCTGTTCATTTTGAAATACTTCCCTGTTCATTTTGAAATACTTCCCTGTTCATTTTGAAATACTTCCCTGTTCATTTTGAAATACTTCCCTGTTCATTTTGAAATACTTCCCTGTTCATTTTGAGCTTGTTTCCTAATGATTCATTCACACATAACCAGTGTTTTGTTTTACTTCCATTTCACAACAACCTGTTCCTTTACAATTGGGAAAATACAAGACGTCTTGCGCCCAGCGCAAGTGCGAGCTCTGAAGGTGCAAAGCGATGTTCTTGAATTCTAGAAGCTCTGAGGTGCATTCTCATGGTTTTTGTGGAGAATTAATTGCTCTTAAAAAATGACATATTTCTATATTCATTTTTGTTTCTTTTTTAAATTTGTAACAAATTCTTTTCAAAGTGTAAGAAGATGAAAAACAATGACAAGGTTAGAATTTTTATATCATAATTTTAATAAATTTTAACAAGGTAACAACAAATCAATCCCTTCTTTGTCCACTTCTCCATTCTGTGACAGAGGGGTTACTGAACTTGGGGATCATCCTAACAGATTGAAGGGTTATGAGGATTCATAACTTCATAAACCATCAGTACAATGCTACACACTCGCTCAGCTAATACAAATGTTTATCTGCAAGTATGTGACAAAGCCAATATAGAACGTGACAGGAACAGGGAGGCAGTAAAGGCAGTATTTCTGTGTTTTGACTTTATCCTTAAGCAACAGTTGGCAATTTGCGAGACAACAGAAAAAATGGTGCATGTCATAGTTGACCTCTGTGTCCACAAGATTTTGCAGCTTCCTTGAATGCATCCCTGATTTTAGTCAGTCCTTTGGAATCAATTTTTCTGATGTTTTTAGTGAAGTATTTTGAATTATGCGGCATGGTGTAGAACTGGATGTCACCCGCGAATCAAAGCCGCTGTCAATTTGACGCCTGAAATTCTGATGACCGTATCAAAAGATATGACCTAGATTCTGCGGATTCCCTTCCCTTGAGGACAACTTATTTAATTAGCTCACCTGGCCTGAAGGGCCAAGTGAGCTTATGGCATGGTGCGGCGTCCGTCGTCCATCCGTCGTCCGTCCGTCCGTCGTCAACATTTTACTTTAAACAACTTCTTCTCAGTAACCATAAGGCCTAGGGTGATGATATTTGGCCAGAAGCATGCTGGGATGAAGGGCTACCAAGTTTGTTCAAATAAATGACCTTGACTAGTATTCAAGGTCACAGGGGTCAAATATATTTAAAACCTTTCAACAACTTCTTTTGAATAACCGGTAGGCCTAGGGTGATGATATTTGGCCAGAGGCATGCTGGAGCGAAGGGCTACCAAGTTTGTTCAAATAAATGACCTTGGTTTATATTCAAGGTCACAGGGGCCAAATATGTTTAAAACATTTAAACAACTTCTTCTGAATAACTAATAGGCCTTGGGTGCATAAATTTGGCGAGTAACATGCTTGGATAAAGGGCTACCAAGTTTGTTCAAATAAATGACATTCATCCATTTTCAAGGTCACAGGGGTCAAATATGTTTAAAAACTTTCAACAACTTCTTCTGAATAACCGATAGGCCTAGGGTGCCTAAATTTGGCCAGTAACATGCTGGGAAAAAGGGCTACCAAGTTTGTTCAAATAAATGACCTTGGTTTATATTCAAGGTCACAGGGGTCAAATATGTTTAAAACATTTAAACAACTTCTTCTGAATAACTAATAGGCCTTGGGTGCATAAATTTGGCGAGTAACATGCTTGGATAAAGGGCTACCAAGTTTGTTCAAATAAATGACATTGATTTATATTCAAGGTCACAGGGGTCAAATATGTTTAAAACATTTAAACAACTTCTACTGAATAACCAAGAGGCCTAAGGTGGTGATATTTGGCCAGTAGCATGCTGGGATGAAGGGCTACCAAATTTGTTCAAATAAATGACCTTCATCCATTTTCAAGGTCACAGGGGTCAAATATGTTTAAAACCTTTAAACAACTTCTTCTGAATAACCAAAATGCCCAGGGTGATGATATTTGGCCAGTAGCATGCTGGGATGAAGGGCTACCAAGTTTGTTCAAATGAATGACCTTGACCAACTTTCAAGGTCACAGGTGTCAAATGTCTTAAAATCTTCAAACAACTTCTTCTCAATAACCAAAAGGCCCAGGGTACTGATATTTGGCCTGTAGCAATCAGGGCTACCAAATTTGTTCAAATGAATGACCTTGTTTGCCATTCAAGGTCACACTGATTTCTGCCTGTAGCTGTATTTTAGTCCACTTTTAAGTTTACAAGTGTGAGATTAATACCAGGTGAGCGATGCAGGCCCATTGGGCCTCTTGTTTTAACATACACTTTAGACATGTTTTGATAAAATCATAGATTTACAACAATAAGCCAACAAAGAATAAATTAACAGGTATTCTATTTGGGAAAATATGTCATTATTTTGGGAAAAAACATAATTTTCAGGCTAGGGGAGGGAAGCAGTCATTAGACGGCTGTAGATCAGTCAAAAAACAACAACACTGGTAACACACATACTTGCCAACCTTTTGAAATTTCCATGGTGGAGATTCTGTGCACTAAATGAAATGTATTTATATATATCCCACAAGGAGAGAAAACTAACACTTTAGAATGGCACCTTTGGACTTGTTCTTGCAGATGAAGTCATTAGATGTTAAAAGATAGAAATAGTTTGGAGAATTCACTGGTTCAAAATGCAGAGTTTATGGTCAGGGGTCTCACTCCAAAATAGGCGAGTTGGCAAGTGTGTTTTTGAACATGAATAATTCAAGTGCATTGACCTTACAAACAAAGGTAACAGCAAATAAATACCTGGAGCACAGGAAAGATGGGGGTGTTACCTTCAGTAATACTATTTTTCATTTTCAAATCATTTTAATATGTAATTCCTGGTTATTTGCTTTAGAAACTTCCTTTTGTCTTGCTGCTTTTTCTACCAAATTATAAACCAAATTTAATTGTTCCCCCACTGAAATGTTGTCCACACTTTGATTGACCTATGACCTTTATTTTACAGGCGAGAGGACAAGTGCCAAAATCACATCTACATGATACTGTAGACGAGTTACGGAAATTTAATGCACGACGGAAATTAAAAGTAAGTTTGAATGAAATCACATGCCAAACTTAAAAATTCACCACATCAATACATATTTATAAGACCTAATGCTCGCCCAAACATATTTGGAATATCATTTTTTTTTTACCTTACACATGTTCTTACATTTGATGATATTCTGCTCAACTAGATGTGAGTGTTGGAGTGATACTTCATATAAAATATTAAACACCAAAATAGCTGTGGAATGCTTCGTTTTATGTGTATGGGAGGGGGAGGGGTATTCATCTTATTTTAGGATAATCTGGATCTTTATCAACAAGTTTATATGCCAGAAGGTGTTTTTAAATCGTGCTTTATTAAAAGTATGACAGGATTTAAAAAGAAAATGACAAACCCTGAACTTGTTTACCAATATTTGGTCAAATCTATGAATACATGATAACACGAGTTTTTGCAGAATCTGTGCTGTTTATGTATCAGTGTTGCACTTGAAAAAAAAAAAGTGAACATTTTTTGAAGTATAATGTATAATCAGATCAAATATATCTCATCATGAAGCAAAACTTTTTTTGTTCTAGTCACCCTTTGTCATGTGGTCCGTCAATCATCCGTCGTCCGTCTTTAAACAATTCTTGTTATCGCTATTTCTCAGAAAGTGCAGGAGAGATCTTTCTCAAATTTGATTTTAAGGTTTCCCTTGGTCTGTAGTTGTGCATGTTTACTTTTGAGACTGATCGAATGAACAAAATGGCCGACAGGCGGCCATCTTGGATTTTAACAGTGAATGTTTGCTATCACTCTTTCTCAAATTTGATATGAAGGTTCTTCTTGGTCTGCTTGTTTACCTTGGCGAGTGATCATAAAAACAAGATGGCCAGAGGGAGTACTAATGAGATATTTCTGATAAATATACTGTAATGATTAGATCTATTTTTCTCTTACCCTGGACAGATTTATCCTTACTTTTACCGGTGTGAGATTTCCTTGTCTCACCCTAGGGTTGAGACAAGCTACACATGCTGTTTGCATGTGTCCACATTAAACCTGACGTCACTGATGTGACTCAGAAGAAGAACTACTTTTATGAGGTCACACACATACACAAGTTCGTCTGCTTATCTTCTCGTGTTTACATTTGACATCAAAGAAGATGGGATTGATTTTAAAATGTTTAAAATATGATGCGTGAACCGTCTGACGCATACATATAATATTAATACGCTATTCACATGTTCCTGTTTACAAACAATATGCTTCGTCTTACACTTGGACAGGAACAACAGGGTAAGTGAAGATAATCATTCACCCCCTCGGGGATGAGTTAGGGGGATCTCAACCCTGGGGGAAAGATTCTTAAGTTGCCAAACACTCGGCAAAGCCTCATGTTTGGCAAATTAAGAATCTTCCCCCCCTCGGGTTGAGATCCCCCTATCTCATCCCAGAGGGGATGAAAGATTTTATTACTCTTACAGTTAAAGAATTGTACTAGTAAATATGTGAAATGGTGCATTTACTGTTTACATGACTAGATCAAACAGATAAGAGAAAAGATCAAACTGACATAAACTAATGAAGATGGTACAATGGTGGGCGCCAAGATCCCTCTGGGATCTCTTGTTTTATAATACATCAACTGCTAGGAGATCAGGAATAACTTTGAGATAGGGCCAAAAACAAAATAATAATAATAATAAAGTTTATTCAGGTAAAAGATACATGGCAAACATAAAATTACATTACACAAGCAATGAGATCACAGAATGGTATTTCATGAAAGACTAACCCCAGATATCACAAAATGCATATGACTAAAAATTATAGTATTTCAAGTAAAAAAAGCATATATTCAGCTCTAGGTAGTAATATTATCACAGTTTGTATGAATATGATAGATGATGGTGTTTGTCTGTATAGATGATGGTGTTTATCTGTATAGATGAGGGTGTTTATCTGTATAGATGATGGTGTTCAACTGTATAGATGATGGTGTTCAATGGTATAGATCATGTTATTCATCAGTAAAGATGATGGTGTTTATCTGTATAGATGATGGTGTTTATCTGTATAGATGATGGTGTTCAACTGTATAGATGATGGTGTTCAATGGTATAGATCATGTTATTCATCAGTAAAGATGATGGTGTTTAACATTTTTAGATCATTGCCAGTAAATCTATTGCACAGATAGTGGTATCAACTTCAAAATATTTCATTTTTTGAAAAAAAGAACATTATTGTCAGCATCAATATTTACAATGTTATGTGATTTTCTTTTCCAGGGAGCTATTATGGCAGCTGTGTCCAGTTCTAAATGGTTGTCTTTTTATAATGACCCACCTGACCTTAATGAGGAAATAACTTCAACAGGTAAGTTCCATGCTTCATGCTTGCTCAATCAGTTCAAATGGCTGCTGAAGTAAGTGTACTCCGTAGTGACGTAGACTATACTCCTACGTCTGAAGTAAGTGTACTCCGTCTGAAGTAAGTGTACTCCGTAGTGGCTTAGACTATACTCCTACGTCATAAGTAAGTGTACTCCGTAGTGGCTTAGACTATACTCCTACGTCATAAGTAAGTGTACTCCGTAGTGGCTTAGACTATACTCCTACGTCATAAGTAAGTGTACTCCGTAGTGGCTTAGACTATACTCCTACGTCATAAGTAAGTGTACTCCGTAGTGGCTTAGACTATACTCCTACGTCATAAGTAAGTGTACTCCGTAGTGGCTTAGACTATACTCCTACGTCATAAGTAAGTGTACTCCGTAGTGGCTTAGACTATACTCCTACGTCATAAGTAAGTGTACTCCGTAGTGGCTTAGACTATACTCCTACGTCATAAGTAAGTGTACTCCGTAGTGGCTTAGACTATACTCCTACGTCATAAGTAAGTGTACTCCGTAGTGGCTTAGACTATACTCCTACGTCATAAGTAAGTGTACTCCGTAGTGGCTTAGACTATACTCCTACGTCATAAGTAAGTGTACTCCGTAGTGGCTTAGACTATACTCCTACGTCATAAGTAAGTGTACTCCGTAGTGGCTTAGACTATACTCCTACGTCATAAGTAAGTGTACTCCGTAGTGGCTTAGACTATACTCCTACGTCATAAGTAAGTGTACTCCGTAGTGGCTTAGACTATACTCCTACGTCATAAGTAAGTGTACTCCGTAGTGGCTTAGACTATACTCCTACGTCATAAGTAAGTGTACTCCGTAGTGGCTTAGACTATACTCCTACGTCATAAGTAAGTGTACTCCGTAGTGGCTTAGACTATACTCCTACGTCATAAGTAAGTGTACTCCGTAGTGGCTTAGACTATACTCCTACGTCATAAGTAAGTGTACTCCGTAGTGGCTTAGACTATACTCCTACGTCATAAGTAAGTGTACTCCGTAGTGGCTTAGACTATACTCCTACGTCATAAGTAAGTGTACTCCGTAGTGGCTTAGACTATACTCCTACGTCATAAGTAAGTGTACTCCGTAGTGGCTTAGACTATACTCCTACGTCATAAGTAAGTGTACTCCGTAGTGGCTTAGACTATACTCCTACGTCATAAGTAAGTGTACTCCGTAGTGGCTTAGACTATACTCCTACGTCATAAGTAAGTGTACTCCGTAGTGGCTTAGACTATACTCCTACGTCATAAGTAAGTGTACTCCGTAGTGGCTTAGACTATACTCCTACGTCATAAGTAAGTGTACTCCGTAGTGGCTTAGACTATACTCCTACGTCATAAGTAAGTGTACTCCGTAGTGGCTTAGACTATACTCCTACGTCATAAGTAAGTGTACTCCGTAGTGGCTTAGACTATACTCCTACGTCATAAGTAAGTGTACTCCGTAGTGGCTTAGACTATACTCCTACGTCATAAGTAAGTGTACTCCGTAGTGGCTTAGACTATACTCCTACGTCATAAGTAAGTGTACTCCGTAGTGGCGTAGACTATACTCCTATGTCTGAAGTAAGTGTACTCAGTAGTGGCTTAGACTATACTCCTACGTCTTAAGTAAGTGTACTCCGTAGTGGCTTAGACTATACTCCTACGTCTGAAGTAAGTGTACTCCGTAGTGGCTTAGACTATACTCCTACGTCTGAAGTAAGTGTACTCCGTAGTGGCTTAGACTATACTCCTACGTCTGAAGTAAGTGTACTCCGTATTGGTTTAGACTATACTCCTACGTCTGAAGTAAGTGTACTCTGTAGTGGCTTAGACTATACTCCTACGTCTGAAGTAAGTGTACTCCGTAGTGGCTTAGACTATACTCCTACGTCTGAAGTAAGTGTACTCCGTATTGGTTTAGACTATACTCCTACGTCTGAAGTAAGTGTACTCTGTAGTGGCTTAGACTATACTCCTACGTCTGAAGTAAGTGTACTCCGTAGTGGCTTAGACTATACTCCTACGTCTGAAGTAAGTGTACTCTGTAGTGGCTTAGACTACTCCTACGTCTGAAGTAAGATATTTCTTCTGAAGAAAGAGCCCTAACAGGCTTACCTGCGTAATCAACACCCATTTTAATCTGTTTTGGGACAAGAACCCATAGTTCCCCTTGCTTGGATGAATCTTAAACACCAGGTGAAGTATTGCCAAGTAAGATTACGGCATTAGGAAATGAAAGGATTCAGAAAAAAGAGAGAAGATAATTATCCTTAATGTTGCAGTTAGCACAGAAGTCCCACTTTCCCTTTCTGTTCCATATTTATGTCCCGTTCCTGCTCCTCCCCTGCCTTGTGAAGTTCACCAATATTTGACCCCTGAACTGTACTATGTACCAGACCATGACTAAGGTGTAACCCTGCCTTGTAAGGTTCCCCAATATTTGACCCCTGACCTGTACTATGTACCAGACCATGACTAAGGTGTAACCCTACCTTGTGAGGTTCACCAATGTTTGACCCCTGACCTGTACTATGTACCAGCCCAGGACTGAGGTATAACCCTGCCTTGTAAGGTTCCCCAATATTTGACCCCTGACCTGTACTATGTACCAGCCCAGGACTGAGGTATAACCCTGCCTTGTTAAGTTCCCCAATATTTGACCCCTGACCTGTAATATGTACCAGCCCAGGACTAAGGTATAACCCTCTGTTTTGTACAAGGAGCTGTGTCCCAGGTCCTTGATTCCCTGGAAGAGATCCAGTGCCTAACAGACTGTAGTGACACAGAAACAGACCTTATAGAGAAAGTGTTCCAGGATACCAAACTACACGCCCTACTAAATGTGAGTACTATCAGACTTATATTAAACCTTGTCTATTTGAGTTATGTCCCTTGCTGTATAACATGAGATGTTTTATTGTCACAAATTTTCATGAAGCAAATTTTTGTGAATACCCAATACAAACAACAATCCAGTCCAATTAGGTGTATTTATTTTTGTAGTTGCATAGCAATAACAGAAACATCTTTTGTTCACACTGAACTTTTCCTGTTACACAGTATTATATTGTCCCAGTGTGTATGAGTGATGTCCCACTGCTGTCAGTCCAGCCTAGGTGACAAATGTTTGTATATCTACATTAACAACTGTGTAGTTCAAAAGCACTGCAAGGAGACTATTATATACAAAGCAATATATTTGAGTTTTCCATGCATGTATTACGATTGAAGTCCTCACTACTTCCAGTTGTTTCATTTCTTGATTCGACCAATAAATACATATTGTCTGTGATTCACTGATTGTCTATAGAATTATTTTGTTAGAAAATCCATGCAAAATGATTAAGTTAGATTTTGCATAGCACATTTGTTTTGTATTGTTTTATGAGGCGTTGACAATTTAGCTCATGATCATGTAGTGCCAAATACATGGCACATCATTACAACCAAGATAGCTTTGCTTTTTAAACAAATTTGTATATATTTGACAATGCATCATACTATTTAATCATGTCAAAATTTTCAAAATGTGTTGATTGATAACTTTTTGAAGACAAAAACAGTCTGATCATGATGAGGACCTCGGAAAGCAATATTTTCATGTGGAGGTCAAGAATAATAATGAACGTCTTAAGCTCCTTTGTTTGAGAGCTGTGAGATTTATCTGCCAGTCAGGATATTGAAATAGGGCACATGGTGCTGATTGATTGATTGATTGATAGGTTTTACGTCCGCTTCACTACCGAGTAGTTTGGTTATCCAGCAGACGAACATGGTGCTCTCAGTGGAGTAATATTATACTGCTAAGGGGAGACAACTTCTGTCTCCATGTTTGCTGTTGTTTTATGGTGATCATAACTGTAAGGGAGGTAACTCTGTCCTCCCTGTACACACTATGATAGTAAAATGTCTGCAGTCTGCATGAAGGTGACTTGATGTGTTATTGACAATGTGATAAAGATTTTCATTACCCTCACAGGTTTACTTTAATTAGTTGCCAAAACCATGATAGAAATGAATGACTGATACTGGTAAATTAATGAATGACTGATACTGGTAAATTGAATGTAGAATCTGGTCTGAACTGAACCTCTATGTCACAGCATCACTCAACCAAGACTCCGTTGGCGATGAAACCAGCATGAAAATTGGAGAAGGCAGACTGAGTAATGGTTGCTAGACATCTTTAATTAAAATTTTCCAAAGGACAATCTTTTGTATGTAAAGTTTGGGAAGGAATTCCCGAAAATCAATACTTTTATGAAAAACGCTCTCTGATAAACAAAGTTGCTTCAAAATTAATAAGCCTTGTGATAGATAAGACTGCTAGTTATATTTGTAATATAAAAATTGATACAAAAAATGGAGAACCTTGCTTATCACAATATGCCACCTTATTGAAGTGATGTAAACAGTTTAGGATATCCCTGATGTGTAGAAATAGGCTGTTAACGCTCCAGTTTTTAAATGTCCTTTGAAACTAAGTCATTATTACCGAGTGACGATTCCTATTGATTCTGTAGGAAGTCTTCGATAGGAAAAGGTGGTTTTAGTGCCCAGAACTTTACCATTATTGGTTATCTCACCAAGGAAATTCTCTTGTGAATGGGAGACAATTGAATATTTGTAGAATAATTATATTTAATGGCAGGTGCCTAGCAGAAATAGTGCACATCTGTGCTATAAGCTTTGTGAACTTCATATCTAACTACCTCAAATTTCAACGGACCTGCCATTTCACCTCCGTGAAAGCAATGAAACAGTCGATCCATCTACATTGAATGTCTGATCTACTGGGAAATATCAGGGATGGGGCAAGATTGGAATCCCCAACTTGATAACAGAGGAATGCTATCAACATACAAGGGGGAGCACTCTTATGTTCTCGTAAACAAGGGAGATAACCCTTACAAAGGGTTGAGATGTTGTTAGTGTATCTCTAAAGGGAGGAAGTGCATGTTAGGATTATTTGGCAGCAATTAGATGAAGGGTCTGTATTGCAGATATTAAAATATTGCAGACCTGCCAATTTATCCGAACCAGTTTGTGTATGGCATGTTTTATATGACCTGTAATTTGAGTGTGGCAACTGTGTTGTGTTTCGGGGGTACCTAGAAATATGTATCATTTACCAGTAATGATCATGACATTCTCAATGTCACATTTTTATGTCATTCCAAGATGGCCCTTGTTTTGTTGAAAATTACTTAAATGTTACCTCTGTCCAGGTCCCTGTGCTACTAACAACACATTTAGATTCATTTTGTTATCAGTTGAACAGTCCCCTGTATTATCCTTGCACTCCCAAAGTCCCTGTGTTATCATATTCTTCCAATCTTAATCCTTGCGTACATTTGTTACTTACAAGTCCTCATGCTTCATTGTTAGTGACAGAATCCTCAGGCCCCTGTGTTACTAGCATACTCTATAAGTCCATGTGTTACTGTCATTCCTCCAATCATACTCCATAGATAACTTTGTTACTAAAAAAACTCAGCCCCTGTGTAAATGTCGTCAGGCCCCTGTGCCATTTAACTTCTGCATTCTATCTATATGTTATACTCCACAGGACCAAAATGGCTTTAATGCAGAAGGATTTCTCTGTGATAATTTCATATTCTCCCTATCGTATATATCAGGCATTTTGTTAGTAACTAAAACTATGGGCCCCTGTGTTACTCTCATTTGGCCCCTGTGCTACTAAAACTTCTCAGGCCCCTTTGCTACTAAAAATGCTCAGGCCCCTGTGTTTCCCATGGTTTATTAGAAACTAGAAGACCTGTTATACTTTATCCAAGTAATAAATTCCAACGCTGTTAGAATCCACAGAAAATATTTCAATTGAACAGTAATGAAGAGTTAATTCTCCCTGTAAAACACCAAGATTATGCTGTCAATAACATGGAGGCGTGTTTGATTTATTATTTACTGCCAATATAATTAGGTTCCGCTCCACTAACATGTAATATTGGTGATGAAGCTCATGGGGATATCACCTACTTGTGCGGGAGTGTAATTATAATTGTACTACAAACATACAGCGCTCTTCAGTTCTCACTTTTTTCAACATGTGAACATATCAATTGTTGATAGACGCTTATTGACTTTAAGTACTTAGTATAGATGCTTATTGACTTTAGGTACTTAGTATATACGCTTATAAAGTACTTAGTATAGACGCTTATTGACTTGAAGTACTTAGTATAGACGCTTATTGACTTCAAGTACTTAGTATAGACGCTTATTGACTTAAAGTACTTAGTATAGACTCTTATTGACTTTAAGCACTTAGTACAGACACTTATTGACTTTAAGTACTTAGTATAGGCGCTTATTGACTTAAAGTACTTAGTATAGACTCTTATTGACTTAAAGTACTTAGTATAGACGCTTATTGACTTTAAGCACTTAGTACAGACACTTATTGACTTTAAGTACTTAGTATAGGCGCTTATTGACTTAAAGTACTTAGTATAGACGCTTATTGACTTGAAGTACTTAGTATAGACGCTTATTGACTTCAAGTACTTAGTATAGACGCTTATTGACTTAAAGTACATAGTATAGACGCTTATTGACTTTAAGCACTTAGTACAGACACTTATTGACTTTAAGTACATAGTATAGACGCTTATTGACTTTAAGCACTTAGTACAGACACTTATTGACTTTAAGTACTTAGTATAGACGCTTATTGACTTTAAGTACTTAGTATATACGCTTATTGACTTGAAGTACTAAGTATAGACACTTATTGACTTTAAGTACTTAGTATAGACGCTTATTGACTTAAAGTACTTAGTATAGACGCTTATTGACTTTAAGCACTTAGTACAGACACTTATTGACTTTAAGTACTTAGTATAGACGCTTATTGACTTTAAGTACTTAGTATAGACGCTTATTGACTTTAAGCACCTAGGACAGATAGCCAACTGGCTATTTAATTCCGAGCTCATGTAACTTTTAACCTTGACTAAGTGCAGATAACCTCAACTATAGAACTGCATCATCATGATGCCAAATGCAATCATGTAATTTCCTGATTTTCAGTATATTAGTACAGTTCATTTTCCTATATACAGTTTTTCAGTTAGGTACAGAAACACTTCTTCGGGTAAGGTCTCTTACACATAACATTTTATTTTCTGAGTTAAGTTGGTAGTTGTCCGTGTCTGGTATTTCTCAGGGAGGAGTTTCAATGATGTGTCAGAAGATAATTACCTACACATGCTGGATTATTGACAGCCAAATATTTGTTCCATGTCCAAAATCGTTTCCCACAGAATTGGGTTTTTCAGCCAGACTTTTATCAGCAGAGAAAATGAAGTATGATTGTCTTGTTTGCTATGTTGCCTGTAACAGAATTTGTCGGTGCTTTGTAAATGTATGTGTATGGTGCTGATGGTTCAGGAAATGTACCAAGCTAAATACCATCCAGACACATTGATAGATAGCACTCAGTACATTTCAGGGACAGGTATATCATTTCTGGTTCCTCTCACCGGGCAAAAGCAATTTAATGGTTCTGTAGTGATGTAGGTGCTTCATTAAATGTTGGAACGTTTAATTTTCCTACATGCAAAAGTGGAATGATAGAGAGAATTTAAAACTCACAAGATTTGACAAAATGAGAATGTCTCGCACGTTTGATAAGATGACACTGTTATTCACTACATAATAGTCGAACACTTCCCAATGACAATCTCACATTTTGATTGGATGACAACATCACACAATTTTGACAAGATGATAACTTTTGTACTTCTGTTTAAGAATATAAATTTCATAACATTAAATAAAGAGACAAATATACGTTTGTTAAAAAGAAAAATCTCACAT